CCTAAGTAGTCCCCCCAAGTGCAACCTAAGTAGCCCCCCCAAGTGCAACCTAAGTAGCCCCCCCAAGTGCAACCTAAGTAGCCCCCCCAAGTGCAACCTAAGTAGTCCCCCCAAGTGCAACCTAAGTAGCCCCCCCAAGTGCAACCTAAGTAGCCCCCCCAAGTACAACCTAAGTAGCCCCCCCAAGTGCAACCTAAGTAGCCCCCCCAAGTGCAGCCTAAGTAGCCCCCCCAAGTGCAACCTAAGTAGCCCCCCCAAGTGCAACCTAAGTAGTCCCCCCAAGTGCAACCTAAGTAGCCCCCCCAAGTGCAACCTAAGTAGCCCCCCCCAAGTGCAACCTAAGTAGCCCCCCCAAGTGCAACCTAAGTAGCCCCCCCAAGTGCAACCTAAGTAGCCCCCCCAAGTGCAACCTAAGTAGCCCCCCCAAGTGCAACCTAAGTAGCCCCCCCAAGTGCAACCTAAGTAGCCCCCCCAAGTGCAACCTAAGTAGCCCCCCCAAGTGCAACCTAAGTAGCCCCCCCAAGTGCAACCTAAGTAGCCCCCCCAAGTGCAACCTAAGTAGTCCCCCCCAAGTGCAACCTAAGTAGTCCCCCCAAGTGCAACCTAAGTAGCCCCCCCAAGTGCAACCTAAGTAGTCCCCCCAAGTGCAACCTAAGTAGTCCCCCCAAGTGCAACCTAAGTAGCCCCCCCAAGTGCAACCTAAGTAGCCCCCCCAAGTGCAACCTAAGTAGCCCCCCCAAGTGCAACCTAAGTAGTCCCCCCAAGTGCAACCTAAGTAGCCCCCCCAAGTGCAACCTAAGTAGCCCCCCCAAGTACAACCTAAGTAGCCCCCCCAAGTGCAACCTAAGTAGCCCCCCCAAGTGCAATCTAAGTAGTCCCCCCAAGTGCAACCTAAGTAGCCCCCCCAAGTGCAACCTAAGTAGCCCCCCCAAGTGCAACCTAAGTAGCCCCCCCAAGTGCAACCTAAGTAGTCCCCCCAAGTGCAACCTAAGTAGTCCCCCCAAGTGCAACCTAAGTAGCCCCCCCAAGTGCAACCTAAGTAGTCCCCCCAAGTGCAACCTAAGTAGTCCCCCCAAGTGCAACCTAAGTAGCCCCCCCAAGTGCAACCTAAGTAGCCCCCCCAAGTGCAACCTAAGTAGCCCCCCCAAGTGCAACCTAAGTAGTCCCCCCAAGTGCAACCTAAGTAGCCCCCCCAAGTGCAACCTAAGTAGCCCCCCCAAGTACAACCTAAGTAGCCCCCCCAAGTGCAACCTAAGTAGCCCCCCCAAGTGCAATCTAAGTAGTCCCCCCAAGTGCAACCTAAGTAGCCCCCCCAAGTGCAACCTAAGTAGTCCCCCCAAGTGCAACCTAAGTAGCCCCCCCAAGTGCAACCTAAGTAGCCCCCCCAAGTGCAACCTAAGTAGCCCCCCCAAGTGCAACCTAAGTAGCCCCCCCAAGTGCAACCTAAGTAGTCCCCCCAAGTGCAACCTAAGTAGCCCCCCCAAGTGCAACCTAAGTAGCCCCCCCAAGTGCAACCTAAGTAGCCCCCCCCAAGTGCAACCTAAGTAGCCCCCCCAAGTGCAACCTAAGTAGCCCCCCCAAGTGCAACCTAAGTAGTCCCCCCAAGTGCAACCTAAGTAGCCCCCCCAAGTGCAACCTAAGTAGCAACCCCAAGTGCAACCTAAGTAGCCCCCCGAAGTGCAACCTCAGTAGTCCCCCCAAGTGCAACCTAAGTAGTCCCCCCAAGTGCAACCTAAGTAGCCCCCCCAAGTGCAACCTAAGTGGCCCCCCCAAGTGCAACCTAAGTAGCCCCCCCAAGTGCAACCTAAGTAGCCCCCCCAAGTGCAACCTAAGTAGCCCCCCCAAGTGCAACCTAAGTAGCCCCCCCAAGTGCAACCTAAGTAGTCCCCCCAAGTGCAACCTAAGTAGCCCCCCCAAGTGCAACCTAAGTAGTCCCCCCAAGTGCAACCTAAGTAGCCCCCCCAAGTGCAACCTAAGTAGCCCCCCCAAGTGCAACCTAAGTAGCCCCCCCAAGTGCAACCTAAGTAGCCCCCCCAAGTGCAACCTAAGTAGCCCCCCCAAGTGCAACCTAAGTAGTCCCCCCAAGTGCAACCTAAGTAGCCCCCCCAAGTGCAACCTAAGTAGTCCCCCCAAGTGCAACCTAAGTAGCCCCCCCAAGTGCAACCTAAGTAGCCCCCCCAAGTGCAACCTAAGTAGCCCCCCCAAGTGCAACCTAAGTAGCCCCCCCAAGTGCAACCTAAGTAGTCCCCCCAAGTGCAACCTAAGTAGCCCCCCCAAGTGCAACCTAAGTAGTCCCCCCAAGTGCAACCTAAGTAGCCCCCCCAAGTGCAACCTAAGTAGCCCCCCCAAGTGCAACCTAAGTAGCCCCCCCAAGTGCAACCTAAGTAGCCCCCCCAAGTGCAACCTAAGTAGCCCCCCCCAAGTGCAACCTAAGTAGCCCCCCCAAGTGCAACCTAAGTAGCCCCCCCAAGTGCAACCTAAGTAGCCCCCCCAAGTGCAACCTAAGTAGCCCCCCCAAGTGCAACCTCAGTAGCCCCCCCAAGTGCAACCTAAGTAGCCCCCCCAAGTGCAACCTAAGTAGTCCCCCCAAGTGCAACCTAAGTAGCCCCCCCAAGTGCAACCTAAGTAGCCCCCCCAAGTGCAACCTAAGTAGCCCCCCCAAGTGCAACCTAAGTAGCCCCCCCAAGTGCAACCTAAGTAGCCCCCCCAAGTGCAACCTAAGTAGTCCCCCCAAGTGCAACCTAAGTAGCCCCCCCAAGTGCAACCTAAGTAGCCCCCCCAAGTGCAACCTAAGTAGTCCCCCCAAGTGCAACCTAAGTAGCCCCCCCAAGTGCAACCTAAGTAGTCCCCCCAAGTGCAACCTAAGTAGCCCCCCCAAGTGCAACCTAAGTAGTCCCCCCAAGTGCAATCTAAGTAGCCCCCCCAAGTGCAACCTAAGTAGTCCCCCCAAGTGCAACCTAAGTAGCCCCCCCAAGTGCAACCTAAGTAGCCCCCCCAAGTGCAACCTAAGTAGCCCCCCCAAGTGCAACCTAAGTAGTCCCCCCAAGTGCAACCTAAGTAGTCCCCCCAAGTGCAACCTAAGTAGCCCCCCCAAGTGCAACCTAAGTAGCCCCCCCAAGTGCAACCTAAGTAGCCCCCCCAAGTGCAACCTAAGTAGCCCCCCCCAAGTGCAACCTAAGTAGCCCCCCCAAGTGCAACCTAAGTAGCCCCCCCAAGTGCAACCTAAGTAGCCCCCCCAAGTGCAACCTAAGTAGCCCCCCCAAGTGCAACCTAAGTAGCCCCCCCAAGTGCAACCTAAGTAGCCCCCCCAAGTGCAACCTAAGTAGCCCCCCCAAGTGCAACCTAAGTAGTCCCCCCAAGTGCAACCTAAGTAGCCCCCCCAAGTGCAACCTAAGTAGCCCCCCCAAGTGCAACCTAAGTAGCCCCCCCAAGTGCAACCTAAGTAGTCCCCCCAAGTGCAACCTAAGTAGTCCCCCCAAGTGCAACCTAAGTAGCCCCCCCAAGTGCAACCTAAGTAGCCCCCCCAAGTGCAACCTAAGTAGCCCCCCCAAGTGCAACCTAAGTAGCCCCCCCAAGTGCAACCTAAGTAGCCCCCCCAAGTGCAACCTAAGTAGCCCCCCCAAGTGCAACCTAAGTAGTCCCCCCAAGTGCAACCTAAGTAGCCCCCCCAAGTGCAACCTAAGTAGCCCCCCAAGTGCAACCTAAGTAGCCCCCCCAAGTGCAACCTAAGTAGCCCCCCCAAGTGCAACCTAAGTAGTCCCCCCAAGTGCAACCTAAGTAGCCCCCCAAGTGCAACCTAAGTAGCCCCCCCAAGTGCAACCTAAGTAGCCCCCCCAAGTGCAACCTAAGTAGCCCCCCCAAGTGCAACCTAAGTAGCCCCCCCAAGTGCAACCTAAGTAGCCCCCCCCAAGTGCAACCTAAGTAGCCCCCCCAAGTGCAACCTAAGTAGCCCCCCCAAGTGCAACCTAAGTAGCCCCCCCAAGTGCAACCTAAGTAGCCCCCCCAAGTGCAACCTAAGTAGTCCCCCCAAGTGCAACCTAAGTAGTCCCCCCCAAGTGCAACCTAAGTAGTCCCCCCAAGTGCAACCTAAGTAGCCCCCCCAAGTGCAACCTAAGTAGCCCCCCCAAGTGCAACCTAAGTAGTCCCCCCAAGTGCAACCTAAGTAGCCCCCCCAAGTGCAACCTAAGTAGCCCCCCCAAGTGCAGCCTAAGTAGCCCCCCCAAGTGCAACCTAAGTAGCCCCCCCAAGTGCAACCTAAGTAGTCCCCCCAAGTGCAACCTAAGTAGCCCCCCCAAGTGCAACCTAAGTAGCCCCCCCAAGTGCAACCTAAGTAGCCCCCCCAAGTGCAACCTAAGTAGCCCCCCCAAGTGCAACCTAAGTAGCCCCCCCAAGTGCAACCTAAGTAGCCCCCCCAAGTGCAACCTAAGTAGTCCCCCCAAGTGCAACCTAAGTAGCCCCCCCAAGTGCAACCTAAGTAGTCCCCCCAAGTGCAACCCAAGTAGCCCCCCCAAGTGCAACCTAAGTAGCCCCCCCAAGTGCAACCTAAGTAGCCCCCCCAAGTGCAACCTAAGTAGTCCCCCCAAGTGCAACCTAAGTAGCCCCCCCAAGTGCAACCTAAGTAGCCCCCCCAAGTGCAACCTAAGTAGCCCCCCCAAGTGCAACCTAAGTAGCCCCCCCAAGTGCAACCTAAGTAGCCCCCCCAAGTGCAACCTAAGTAGCCCCCCCAAGTGCAACCTAAGTAGCCCCCCCAAGTGCAACCTAAGTAGTCCCCCCAAGTGCAACCTAAGTAGCCCCCCCAGTGCAACCTTCACTAGCACTTGGTGATAAAAGTTGAGTTTTGAGGCGTCTCAAAACCCTAAGTAGCCTCAAAAGACGTCGGTGGTGCACCACCATTACAGCCCCATGATTCATGGCTTCATGCTTGCTGCATTAATTCTTTTTTTTTTTTCCCATCTCCCCCTCCCAGGCCCTCCCTGCCCACCAGCTATCAGAAGGAGGGCATGAGGACGAGTTTGGAGGGGATTGTCTTGGTGCACCATCACAACCACCCACCCACACATCCTGCTGCTGCAACCCCCCTTGAAAACCACTCCCGGATATTGGTGCCCACTCACTCCTGCCCTTGCCCTCCTTCCTTTCCCCCCTCCCAGCCCCTCCCTGCCCACCAGTTACCAGAAGGAGGGCATGAGGACGAGCGTGGAGGGGATTGTCTTGGTGCATCACCACAACCACCCGCACACCCTGCTCTGTTGCAACCCCCCTTGTTGTACCCTTTGCACCGCACTCCCGCCCTTGCCCTCCTTCCCTCGCCCACCAACCAGTTACCAGAAGGAGGGCATGAGGACGAGTTTGGAGGGGATTGTCTTGGTGCATCACCACAACCACCCGCACACCCTGCTGCTGCTATCCCCCTTGTACCCCTTGCACTCACTTCACTTCTTTGCCCTCCCTCCCTCGCCCCTCCCCCCCCTGCTCCAGTTATCAGAAGGAGGGCATGAGAACAAGCGTGGAGGGAATTATATTAGTCCACCATCACAACCACCCGCACATCCTGCTGCTGCTATCCCCCTTGTACCCCTTGCACTCACTTCACTTCTTTGCCCTCCCCCCCTCGCCCTCCCTTCCTCGCCCCTCCCCCCCCCCTGCTCCAGTTATCAGAAGGAGGGCATGAGAACAAGCGTGGAGGGGATTATATTAGTCCACCATCACAACCACCCGCACATCCTGCTGCTGCAGATCGGAAATTCTTTTTTCAAGCTGCCCGGAGGGAGATTGAAACCGGGGGAGGATGGTACGTTGTCAGGACTTGTTGTTTCTTCTGGTTCTTCACTGGAGGTGTTTCTATGCGGCAATGCGGCATGAGACAGAAGATGTGTTGTAGGCTCTACAGTACGCATCATGCCATGCCAAATGCGCACGAACACGTGCCCATGCGCATGCATGAGTATGCACGCACGCATCAGTATGATGTCTACTGTTTTCATGTTTTCATGTGCACGAGTATGTAACGCAGTAACAGAGATTGTGGTGCGAACTTGTCATGTGGCGTGCGCTTGTTTCATGCGTTCTTGCATGTATGTATGTATGTATGTGCTGTGCTCTGCACACCCCACTCCCACTCAATCCCCATCGCACCACATATCATACCCATGCCCACTAATTCTCATTCCCGTCAGAGGTGGAGGGCTTTAAGCGCAAGCTCACCAGCAAGCTCCCTTCCCCGCTCCACCCTCCCTCCTTCCCACTTCCCCAGAGGTGGAGGGCTTTAAGCGCAAGCTCACCAGCAAGCTCCCTTCCCCGCTCCACCCTCCCTCCTTCCCACTTCCCCAGAGGTGGAGGGCTTTAAGCGCAAGCTCACCAGCAAGCTGGACCCGTCCATGGCCTCTTTGCCTGTCGGTTGCTCTCATGCCCCCCATTCACGCCCATCCCATACCCGATCATCCCCATCCCATCCCCGCATACGAGGTGACTTTTGAGTCGACTCAAAAGCCATTCTGCCTGTTGGTTGCTCTCATGCCCCCCATTCACGCCCATCCCATACCCGCATACGAGGTGACTTTTGAGTCGACTAAAAAGCCATTCTGCCTATCGGTTGCTCTCATGCCCCCCATTCACGCCCATCCCATACCCGATCATCCCCATCCCACCCCGCATAGCGGCTCGTCCCCTTCCTCCCACCCAATAGAGGTGGAGGGCTCTAAGCGCAAGCTCACCAGCAAGCTGGGTCCGTATGGTCAGAGGCATGTGCTTCATGTGTCCATCCATGCATGGACATCGCACAACCCCATTGCACCCGCCTGTTGCCCCTGTCAACCCCATCCCATCTCACTCCCCTACCCCCCTTTCCCTCAGAGGTGGAGGGGCTGAAGCGCAAGCTCACCAGCAAGCTGGGTCCGTCCGTGTCCATTCTGGCATTGGTTGGCTGCTTTCATGCACTCTATGTACATCGCATCCCACCACACCCCACACCCTCTCACTCCCCTTCCCTCAGAGGTGGAGGGGCTGAAGCGCAAGCTCACCAGCAAGCTGGGTCCGTCCGTGTCCATTCTGCCCGTGCCTGACTGGCAGGTGAGGAGGTAGGGGGGTTAGGTTCGGCAGGCAGGCTCGGAAGGCAGGGTAGAACAGATTTGGCAAGTAGAGACGTGGGCGTTCGTGTCCCGTAGGGATAATAAATGCTGGGCTGTTCGTGTCCCGTCTGCCCTCCTTTCTTCCCGCACCTCTCACTGCTCTCACGGCTCTCACTGCTCTCACTGCTCTCACTGGCTCCTTCCTACCGCCCCATGCTATCCCCTTTCCAGGTGGGAGAGTGCTCTGCAGTGTGCTGGCTTTTGAGTCGACTCAAAAGTCACCTTCCTACCGCCCCATGCTATCCCCTTTCCAGGTGGGAGAGTGCTCTGCAGTGTGCTGGCTGGCGACCCAACTACTTTTGAGAATGCTCAAAAGGAACTGCCCTAAGGTGTTTTTGAGAATGCTCAAAAGGAACTGCCCTAGGGTGTTTTTGAGAATGCTCCAAAGGAACTGCCATCCACTTCTCCCCCACCCCCCCCCACTACTGCCCTCCGTTTTGGCCTATTTATCTCCGTCAGGTGGGAGAGTGCTCTGCCGTGTGCTGGCGACCCAACTTCGAGACGCTCATGTATCCCTCCTACTGCCCTTCATCCACATTCTGCTCTCCGCTCTTTCCTGACGGCCCGCGGCTGCTGCATTGTCCCACCATCTTTGCCCTCCCGTCCCCCCTTCTCCATGCCAGGTGGGAGAGTGCTCAGCTGTGTGGTGGCGACCCAACTTCGAGACCCTCATGTACCGTCCATGCTGCCCTCCCTACTGACTGCCCTACTGTCCACCTTCCTTCTGCTTCTCCTTTGTCCCCCTCCCCTTCCTTCCACACTCTTTCCCTGCCAGGTGGGCGAGTGCTCTGCTGTCTGGTGGCGACCCAACTTCGAGACGCTCATGTACCCCTACTGCCCTCCGCACATCACAAAACCCAAGGTAGGTTGGTGCATGGTGCGGCATTGATTTGAAAGGACAAGTTAGGAATAGTATTGTAAGCGTAGTAACTTCGAGACGCTCATGTACCCCTACTGCCCTCCGCACATCACAAAACCCAAGGTGAGTTGGTGCATGGTGTGCCAGGATGGATAAACACGCACAAGACATTTGAGCGATGTTTCAGGCGCCACTACTAAGGTAACTTCGAGACTCTCATGTACCCCTACTGCCCGCCGCAGTACATTATTTTGTTGAGGAACGGTGTTTCAGGCGCAACAAAGGTAACTTGGAGACCCTCATGTTCCCCTGCTGCCCTCCGGTCATCACCAAACCCAGAGTTGGTTTGTGCATGGCGTGGCAAGGTAAGTGCCATGCCCACTATTCCATTCTCCATGTGCCATATGCCTCTTCACTCCTCTTCACACCTCGTCACTCTCCTCGTCACTCCTTTCGTCTCCTATTTGCAACTCACCAGTTATCACTCCTCCACATGGCATGAGGTGAAGAAGCTCTGTGTGACTCCCCTCACTGAGAAGCAGTACTTTGGAGTTCCAAGTTACCTTTCCAGTTTCAACTGACTCCCCTTCACTCCCCTTCCCATTCCTCTCCACTCCTCTTGACTCCTTTTCACACCTCTTCTATCCTCCCTTCCAACAGTTATTGAAGAAGCTCGTTGTGGTTCTCCTCACTGAGAGAGAGGCAGTACTTTGGAGTCCCCAAGAACCCAACTGACTCTTCTTCACTCCCTTTCACTCCCATCCACTCCTCTCCACCACTCATCACCCCTCTCCACTCCTCTCCCTTCAACAGGAGATGAAGAAGCTGGTCGTGGTTCCTCTCACCGAGAGACAGTACTTTGGAGTTCCCAGGAATCTCAAGCCGCCCTGACTCCCCTCCACTCCCATCCACTCCTCTCCACCACTCTTCAACCCTCTCCACTCCTCTCCCTTCAACAGGAGATGAAGAAGCTATTCGTGGTTCCCCTCACAGAGCGCCAGTAAGAATCTCAAGCTGCCCTTTCAGCTAACTCCCCTCGACTCCCTTTCACTCCTTTCGACTCCTCTTGACAACTCACTCACTCCTCTCCACTCATCTTCACTCCTCCCCAACAGGAAATGAGAAGCTGTTTGTGGTTCCCCTCACCGAAAGGCTGTACTTTGGAGTCCCCAAGAATCTCAAGTTCCCTTCACTCCTTTTTCAACTCCTCGTCACACCTCATCATTCCCCTTCACTCCTCTTGACTCCTCGCCATTCCTCATTTCCTCTTCATCCCTCTTCACTCCTCTCAATCCCTTGTCACTCCCATCCCCCACATCAGGAAATGAAGAAGCTCTTTGTGGTTCCCTTCACAAAGCGCCAGTACTTTGGAGTTCCCAAGAACCCCAAGCTGCCCTTTCAGCGGACCCCTCTTCACTCCCGTCCACTCCTCTCCACCACTCTTCACCCTTCTTCACTCCCCTCTCTCCAGGAGATGAAGAAGCTCTTTGTGGTCCCCCTCACTGAGAGGCAGTACTTTGGAGTTCCGAAGAATCACTCCTCTCCACTCCTCTCCACTCCTTTTCACTCCCCCTCTCATCAACAGGAGATGAAAAAGCTGTTTGTGGTTCCTCTCACAGAGCGCCAGTACTTAGGAGTTCCCAAGTATATCAAGCTGCCCTTTCTGCTAACTCCCCTCGACTCCACTTCACTCCTTTCGACTCCTCTTGACCATTCACTCACTCCTCTCCACTCATCTTCACTCCTCCCCAACAGGAGATGAAGAAGCTCTTTGTAGTTCCTCTAACAGAGCGCCAGTACTTTGGAGTTCCCAAGAATCTCAGGCCGCTCATTCAGCTGACTCCCCGTCACTCCCCTTCACTCCTTTCGAATCCTCTCCACTCCTCGCCACCGCTTTTCACCCCTCGTCACTCCTCCCTTCAACAGGAAATGAAGAAGCTGTTTGTGGTTCCTCTAACAGAGCGCCAGTACTTTGGAGTTCCCAAGAATCTCAAGCTGCTGGCGGTGCCACTACTGGAGCTGTATGACAATGTGCAGGTGAGGGGGATGGGTGGGGTGAGGATGGGTGGGTGGGTCTGTGGGTGTAGTAGGTCAGTGTGATGGTGTGGCAGCAGTATAAGGCAGGCATGCTCGCTTCCCAGGAATCTCAAGCTGCTGGCGGTACCGTTGTTGGAGCTGTATGACAATGTGCAGGTGAGGGTGATGGATGGATGGATGGGTGGGTGGGTGGGTGGGTGGGTGTAAGAGGTGTGTGTGGTTGTGTGACATTGTGGTAGCAGTATAAGGCAAGGGTACTTACATGTAGATTCGCTTCCCAAGAATCTGAAGCTGCTGGCAGTGCCACTACTGGAGCTGTATGACAATGTACAGGTGAGGGGATGGGTGGGGTGTGGTGGGGCGTGTGGGTGGGGTGTGGGTGTGGGTGTGGGTGTGGGTGTGGGTGTGGGTGTGGGTGCAATATGTGTGACGGTGTGACATTGCGACAGCAACAGAACAGTGTGTTTGTTGTGCCACTCACGTGCAAAACATCCCAAGCTGCTGGCGGTGGTGCCGCTGCGGGAGCTCTATGACAACGTACAGGTGAGGGTGCTGTGTGTGGGTGGGTGGGTGGGTGGGTGGGTGGGTGGGTGGGTGGGTGGGTGGGTGGGTGTGCAGGTAAGATGGTATGGGGATAAACATGTGTATGAGGACATTAGCATCCCAAGCTGCTGGCAGTGGTGCCGCTGCGGGAGTTCTATGACAACGTACAGACAGGTGAGGGGGACGGATGGATGGGTGGGTGGGTGGGTGCAATTGCAAGAGCGTGTATTGAGAAGCAAGTGTGTGAGTAGGTGTGCAGGTGAGGGGTGTGCGTGGCTGGTGTTTTGAATCGACTCAAAACACGATTCATTACACGCGTGTTGAGTCAACTCAAAACACGATTCATTACACGCGTGTTGAGTCAACTCAAAACACGATTCATTACACGCGTGTTGAGTCAACTCAAAAACACGATTCATTACACGCGTGTTGAGTCAACTCAAAACACGATTCATTACACGCGTGTTGAGTCAACTCAAAACACGATTCATTACACGCGTGTTGGGTCAACTCAAAACACGATTCATTACACGCGTGTTGAGTCAACTCAAAAACACGATTCATTACACGCGTGTTGAGTCAACTCAAAACACGATTCATTACACGCGTGTTGAGTCAACTCAAAACACGATTCATTACACGCGTGTTGGGTCAACTCAAAACACGATTCATTACACACGTGTTGGGTCAACTCAAAACACGATTCATTACATGCGTGTTGAGTCAACTCAAAACACGATTCATTACACGCGTGTTGAGTCAACTCAAAACACGATTCATTACACGCATGTTGAGTCAACTCAAAACACGATTCATTACACGCATGTTGAGTCAACTCAAAACACGATTCATTACACGCATGTTGAGTCAACTCAAAACACGATTCATTACACGCATGTTGAGTCAACTCAAAACACGATTCATTACACGCATGTTGAGTCAACTCAAAACACGATTCATTACACGCGTGTTGGGTCAACTCAAAACACGATTCATTACACGCATGTTGAGTCAACTCAAAACACGATTCATTACACGCGTGTTGAGTCAACTCAAAACACGATTCATTGCACGCGTGTTGAGTCAACTCAAAACACGATTCATTACACGCGTATTGAGTCAACTCAAAACACGATTCATTACACACGTGTTGAGTCAACTCAAAACACGATTCATTACACGCGTGTTGAGTCAACTCAAAACACGATTCATTACACGCGTGTTGAGTCAACTCAAAACACGATTCATTACACGCATGTTGAGTCAACTCAAAACACGATTCATTACACGCGTGTTGAGTCAACTCAAAACACGATTCATTGCACGCGTGTTGAGTCAACTCAAAACACGATTCATTACACGCGTGTTGAGTCAACTCAAAACACGATTCATTACACGCGTGTTGAGTCAACTCAAAACACGATTCATTACACGTGTGTTGAGTCAACTCAAAACACGATTCATTACACGCGTGTTGAGTCAACTCAAAACACGATTCATTACACGCGTGTTGAGTCAACTCAAAACACGATTCATTACACGCGTGTTGAGTCAACTCAAAACACGATTCATTACACGCGTGTTGAGTCAACTCAAAACACGATTCATTACACGCGTGTTGAGTCAACTCAAAACACGATTCATTACACGCGTGTTGAGTCAACTCAAAACACGATTCATTACACGCGTGTTGAGTCAACTCAAAACACGATTCATTACACGCGTGTTGAGTCAACTCAAAACACGATTCATTACACGCGTGTTGAGTCAACTCAAAACACAATTCATTACACGCGTGTTGAGTCAACTCAAAACACGATTCATTACACGCGTGTTGAGTCAACTCAAAACACGATTCATTACACGCGTGTTGAGTCAACTCAAAACACGATTCATTACACGCGTGTTGAGTCAACTCAAAACACGATTCATTACACGCGTGTTGAGTCAACTCAAAACACGATTCATAACACGCGTGTTGAGTCAACTCAAAACACGATTCATTACACGCGTGTTGAGTCAACTCAAAACACGATTCATTACACGCGTGTTGAGTCAACTCAAAACACGATTCATTACACGCGTGTTGAGTCAACTCAAAACACGATTCATTACACGCATGTTGTGTCAACTCAAAACACGATTCATTACACGCGTGTTGAGTCAACTCAAAACACGATTCATTACACGCGTGTTGAGTCAACTCAAAACACGATTCATTACACGCGTGTTGAGTCAACTCAAAACACGATTCATTACACGCGTGTTGAGTCAACTCAAAACACGATTCATTACACGCGTGTTGAGTCAACTCAAAACACGATTCATTACACGCGTGTTGAGTCAACTCAAAACACGATTCATTACACGCGTGTTGAGTCAACTCAAAACACGATTCATTACACGCGTGTTGAGTCAACTCAAAACACGATTCATTACACGCATGTTGAGTCAACTCAAAACACGATTCATTACACGCGTGTTGAGTCAACTCAAAACACAATTCATTACACGCGTGTTGAGTCAACTCAAAACACGATTCATTACACGCGTGTTGAGTCAACTCAAAACACGATTCATTACACGCGTGTTGAGTCAACTCAAAACACGATTCATTACACGCGTGTTGAGTCAACTCAAAACACGATTCATTACACGCGTGTTGAGTCAACTCAAAACACGATTCATTACACGCGTGTTGAGTCAACTCAAAACACGATTCATTACACGCATGTTGAGTCAACTCAAAACACGATTCATTACACGCGTGTTGAGTCAACTCAAAACACAATTCATTACACGCGTGTTGAGTCAACTCAAAACACGATTCATTACACGCGTGTTGAGTCAACTCAAAACACGATTCATTACACGCGTGTTGAGTCAACTCAAAACACGATTCATTACACGCGTGTTGAGTCAACTCAAAACACGATTCATTACACGCGTGTTGAGTCAACTCAAAACACGATTCATTACACGCGTGTTGAGTCAACTCAAAACACGATTCATTACACGCATGTTGAGTCAACTCAAAACACGATTCATTACACGCATGTTGAGTCAACTCAAAACACGATTCATTACACGCGTGTTGAGTCAACTCAAAACACAATTCATTACACGCGTGTTGAGTCAACTCAAAACACGATTCATTACACGCGTGTTGAGTCAACTCAAAACACAATTCATAACACGCGTGTTGAGTCAACTCAAAACACGATTCATTACACGCGTGTTGAGTCAACTCAAAACACGATTCATTACACGCGTGTTGAGTCAACTCAAAACACGATTCATTACACGCGTGTTGAGTCAACTCAAAACACGATTCATTACACGCGTGTTGAGTCAACTCAAAACACGATTCATTACACGCGTGTTGAGTCAACTCAAAACACAATTCATTACACGCGTGTTGAGTCAACTCAAAACACGATTCATTACACGCGTGTTGAGTCAACTCAAAACACGATTCATAACACGCGTGTTGAGTCAACTCAAAACACGATTCATTACACGCGTGTTGAGTCAACTCAAAACACGATTCATTACACGCGTGTTGAGTCAACTCAAAACACGATTCATTACACGCGTGTTGAGTCAACTCAAAACACGATTCATTACACGCGTGTTGAGTCAACTCAAAACACGATTCATTACACGCGTGTTGAGTCAACTCAAAACACGATTCATTACACGCGTGTTGAGTCAACTCAAAACACGATTCATTACACGCGTGTTGAGTCAACTCAAAACACGATTCATTACACGCGTGTTGAGTCAACTCAAAACACGATTCATTACACGCGTGTTGAGTCAACTCAAAACACGATTCATTACACGCGTGTTGAGTCAACTCAAAACACGATTCATTACACGCGTGTTGAGTCAACTCAAAACACGATTCATTACACGCGTGTTGAGTCAACTCAAAACACGATTCATTACACGCGTGTTGAGTCAACTCAAAACACGATTCATTACACGCGTGTTGAGTCAACTCAAAACACGATTCATTACACGCGTGTTGAGTCAACTCAAAACACGATTCATTACACGCATGTTGAGTCAACTCAAAACACGATTCATTACACGCGTGTTGAGTCAACTCAAAACACAATTCATTACACGCGTGTTGAGTCAACTCAAAACACGATTCATTACACGCGTGTTGAGTCAACTCAAAACACGATTCATTACACGCGTGTTGAGTCAACTCAAAACACGATTCATTACACGCGTGTTGAGTCAACTCAAAACACGATTCATTACACGCGTGTTGAGTCAACTCAAAACACGATTCATTACACGCGTGTTGAGTCAACTCAAAACACGATTCATTACACGCATGTTGAGTCAACTCAAAACACGATTCATTACACGCGTGTTGAGTCAACTCAAAACACGATTCATTACACGCGTGTTGAGTCAACTCAAAACACAATTCATTACACGCGTGTTGAGTCAACTCAAAACACGATTCATTACACGCGTGTTGAGTCAACTCAAAACACAATTCATAACAGGCGTGTTGAGTCAACTCAAAACACGATTCATTACACGCGTGTTGAGTCAACTCAAAACACGATTCATTACACGCGTGTTGAGTCAACTCAAAACACGATTCATTACACGCGTGTTGAGTCAACTCAAAACACGATTCATTACACGCGTGTTGAGTCAACTCAAAACACGATTCATTACACGCGTGTTGAGTCAACTCAAAACACGATTCATTACACGCGTGTTGAGTCAACTCAAAACACGATTCATTACACGCGTGTTGAGTCAACTCAAAACACGATTCATTACACGCGTGTTGAGTCAACTCAAAACACGATTCATTACACGCATGTTGAGTCAACTCAAAACACGATTCATTACACGCGTGTTGAGTCAACTCAAAACACAATTCATTACACGCGTGTTGAGTCAACTCAAAACACGATTCATTACACGCATGTTGAGTCAACTCAAAACACAATTC